ATTGATGTTTGTTACATTTAACCGAATAATCAATCACCAACAGAACATTCAAGTTTTACTTTCAACGCCTAGCCCTAACTTCTCGAACCCTAACCTCTATTGTTCTCAAAATTCCCAACTCCAGAAATCCACTTCTCAAGCCGTTCCCGTTGTTCTCTGAACACCTAACTTTCAGCGGGTGGTCAGTCTTTGTTGCTCAGAACACTTCTTTTGTTTAACTAAACCGATTATTGACTATAACTTTCAGTACCGCCTAAGTTGCCACAAAGATTAAGGCTTAGATGCCATTTTCAATTACCCGGATTCTGCTGTTTTTAACTTCGACTCTCGGCTGGAGCCGAGTATTACCGGGAAGTCCAATACCCGACCGGGGCAGAATATCTGGCCGGGTACCCGTGCATCCCTAATTATTACTTGTTTTGTGTTTTTAAACAAAAGTTTTTTAATAGCCATACCACCCGTCTCTACTGTGTGTGTATATATCTATACATATACACAATTTTTTTATCTTCAAAAGATGCTCCATGTTGGCTCAGCGGTAAGTTTGAGGCCTACAACTCTTAAAAAATCGAGCACAGATTAACCGATCGTGTAGCTTCACAACAACCAAACCAAACGTCAGGAACTGGCAGTATAGACGTATTCACGTGATATGTAGTATACGGATCTTCCTTGAAACGCGTGGGTTCTCTTACGTGTAAAATTGATTATAGGAAAACGTGGGTCAGTGACTACGTGTTAGGCTTAGCTGGTGCTCGATTCCGTTTCGGTAAACATCAGGTACATACAGTATGAGAATTAAATTCGTTTTTTTTTATATCAATGTTAGGGCGTTTATTGCTTGTGGATCCTAGCTGCACTGTAAAGACAAGTCTGTATGTACAACGGTGCAAGACCACGAACCGCTCTGTAATTTTGTACAAAATCTGTAAAGAAGACTTAGAGAATTGTGTAAAGTCAGTATGGTGGATGACCTTTTCTTATATGTGGACCCCAGTTGGGGAAGGGGTTAGATATGATGAACTTACTTTTCAGGGAGAGTTATATTTATAACATTAAATACGATCACACAATATCATAGTTTATATTTGAGATATTTTTTTTTAAAGAATAAATTTCACTCAGGTACCTAAGAATGGCTGTTATTAATTTTTTTTATTCACTCATCAGGTGGAGTCCTCAGTCAGTGTTTCTGAGATCTTGGGAATGGGGGGTGGTGGCTCAAGCTCAAACGTTTGGGAATCCTGTTCTAAGCTGATACTTTACAGGGATGGAAATGAAATAAAATTAAATTCACTAGTACAGTTGTCAAGTTGAATTTCCTCATGAATTGTTTTTTTTATATATTTAAACCATGCATTATATTCACTTTCATTAGACATAAGTAAAGGAATACGGATGAATCGTGCATTCCTGATCGGGAAAGCTAGCTAAAAAGTGAAATTCCTTAAGCAAAGTTAAATTCCTCGGGAATGTAATGTTTCGATCCCGGCTCCACTAACGATTTAATAAAATCAAAACGACATAATGAGTGGGGGGGAGGGTAGTTGCTGTAAACTATTGATCACTCTACCTGAGATGCAGCATGACAGCCGGTTGTTTACATCTGTATTTAGAATATCATGTGTATTCTACTAAACTCTGTTAACACACATAGTGTTTACTGCATCTGGAGTCTCGTTAAGGACACTTGGTTGATTTAACCAAACACATCTCACCTGACCATTCCGAACAAATCAGCTCAAGTTTCTTGACTTGACCTAGATGACATCTAGGGCGCGTTCGTTTATAAACTTAGGGTTACTCTAATACAGTTACGAGTAAAAAAAAACCACGTGTACAAATACTGTGTTCTATATGGGGTTACTTTATTTAGGGTTGTTCTAGTGTTAAGAATCGTTGATCTCGTGGACAGATACTTTTATTCTAGGTGGAGTTACATTACTTAGCGTTATTCTAGTGTTAAGATCATTAATCTCGTGGACAGATACTTTTATTCTAGGTGGAGTTACATTACTTAGCGTTATTCTAGTGTTAAGAATCGTTAATCTCGTGGACAGATACTTTTATTCTAGGTGGAGTTACATTACTTAGCGTTATTCTTGTGTTAAGATCATTAATCTCGTGGACAGATACTTTAATTCTAGGTGGAGTTACATTACTTAGCGTTATTCCAGTGTTAAGATCATTAATCTCGTGGACAAATGCTTTATTCTAGGTGGAGTTACATTACTTAGCGTTATTCTAGTGTTAAGAATCGTTAATCTCGTGGACAGATACTTTTATTCTAGGTGGAGTTACATTACTTAGCGTTATTCTTGTGTTAAGATCATTAATCTCGTGGACAGATACTTTTATTCTAGATGAAGTTGCTTTACTCAGGGTTACTCTCGGGTTGAGTTGTTAACCTCGTGGACAGATACATAGATGGAGTTACTTTATTTAGGGTTACTCTAGTGTAGTGGTTCTCAAACTTTAACATCCCGCTAACCTCTATCATGAAAATGCCAAATCTCGCGAACTAAAAATAAATATTTTCCAGGGATTTTCTCCCTCAACTAAAAGTTGTTTTTCTTATGACAATTTTATTACATACTATTCATTATTACATAATTAATTTTATTACATTATGAAAACAGTTAATTCATGGGTGATGTAGAAGTAGTGCAGCCAATCACATAGACGCTTACTGTCACGTGACCCAATAATAACGATAACAGTAAGTGCAAACTGTTGACTAGCTAAATGATAAAGTGTTCCAGAAATGAAATATAATAAATGATGTTTTGTTAATAATTCTTACCCAAAAACTTCCATTTGTAAATGGCTTAAAATAAGTTGATAACAATTCCAATTCCGTTGATTAATCTGATTCACACCTAGACCAGTGTTTCCCAAAGTGGGAGCCGCGGACTTCTTAGGGGCCGTGAAGATTTTTCTGGGGGGCCGCCAAAAAAAATGGGCCTAGTCGAAAAGAAAGATGCTGAATTAATTTTAATTCTAAATAAACCATAAGCCGTTGAAATATCTTGAATCAATTAAATGATACAGTACCACCATTCTAAAATTATAGTTGGGGGGGGGGGCTCAAACTTTTTATTCACATCAAGGTAGCCTCAGACTAAGAGTTTGGGAACCATTAAACTAGACCACTGCTGTTGTGTACCAACCAGTAAATTGAGCCCTGGTATTGGGCAAAAGACTTCGTAGGCACTGGATAAAACAGTGACGTATTATAACGTATTTTCATTTGCTGTCACTCACAAGTTCTTATAATTTTCTCAAGTCGATGAGTTCGAAATTAGGGACGACTGCCGCTGATAGATTTTGTGTAACTTTGCGCGGTTATTCTATTACATTTGCATACGACACCGAACAAACAACGTGATGAGCCTTGCTTCAGATCTGAAAATAGTATATTTATTTTCGCATTTTCCTGCAAAGCTACAAAATATTTTGAAGTGACGCAGCAGAAGGATGCAGCTAGTGAACGGCATACACCGCCAACTTTTGGGTTTTGTCTGACTGAATAGTAGGATTTGACTGTTACGATCACAAAGTGCGGAGCGCGAATTTTTTTGTTATTGTTTGTTTGCGATAACAAGACGCAAATGTTGAACTCACAAGATCCATAGTCCTGCACGGTAGCCACTGGCTGCTGGAAATAGTGACGGACTGTAGTGCTATGTTGTTTCCTCGAAAGGGGGAAGGGGTCACAAGTTTTAACCACTCGCACCACTATACAGTAGAGTGTTGTCTGTCAGTCAGTCGACACTAAAATGACGTTACTTAAGGGACGTTGCATTTTGTACTGTCGTGTCGTCAGTAAAACGTGTGCATGCACGAGAAGAATTATGCACTCTGTAGGCTACAACACAGCATGACATATGAATTAAAAAAAATTATTATTAATTTTGGTATTATTTACACTTGAAATAAAACACTTTTGGGGACTTTGTGG